TTGCCTCCAAAGATAGGTTTATATGTATGGAACCAATCTCGATGAGGAGTTATATGCCATGTTGCTCCTGAATCCATTAGCCAGACCTCAGTGAGCTCTTCTGTATCTGCAGAGATTGTCGCTGCTTCACTATATAAAACATCTCCATCTTCTGAGGTGCTCGCAACACACCCTTGAGATTTTGATGACTCTGCAGTATTCTCTATACCCTTTTTAAACCAACAATCCTTTTTGAAGTGCCCCTTTTTGCCACAGTTGTAGCATTTCACAGTCTTCTTACTTCTTGATTTGGACCTCCCCTGCCTTTGACTCCCACTGGAGCCACGCTCCGTTGATCTTCCTCTTGACACCAACAATGCCTCTGCTTGGTTTGAACTGTTTCTGTCTCCTTTGTTTTTGCGCCTATTTTCTTCTTCCAAGATAGCGGCTGCAATATCATCGAAGACTAAATAGTTTGAGAGGATATTATTGGTCAAGTTGATAATAAGCTGATCATACGAATCAGGAAGACTTTGAAGTAGAAGCTCTGCACGTTCATTTTCCTCTATTTGATGACCCAACGTAGTGAGTTGTGAAAATAGAGTTCTTATTGTGTTGATGTGGTCAGTCACCGACGTGGTTTCTGCCATTCGAAGGGTATAAAGTCTCCGCTTTAAGAAAATCTTATTATGCAAAGACTTGGACTCGTATAACTTTGATAGAGTCTCTCATATCTCCTTAGCTGTTTTCTTCTCCGCCACACTTGATAATACTTTATCGGCTAATGCTAAATGTATGTTAGCAATAGCATTGCCATCCATCTCATTCCATTTTGCATCATCAATGATCTCCGCGGGTCGATCCCCAATTGCTGCCAAGCAATTGTCTTTCCTTAAGATTGCCTTGATTCTCATTTTCCACAGTGAGAAATTGCTCCCATTAAATCTCTCAATCTCGTACTTTGCTGCCATTGTATTCACCGAGATCTATTCAGCTATCACTGTTTCACAGGTATGTAACGTATATAGAAATAGTATCGTGTGAATAATACTTCACTAAGTAAGTTCCCAAGAAAGATTGGAGGGGTCACAAACGGTCCCGCTTAAAACTCAATCTCCTTAGACAGAACTTCCTAGACTGTATTTAATCACCGCACTGACTTTCTATATACGCCAACAGTAACCTTCGTGAACAGTACCGTACAGATGAATAGTGTCGTATAGGTGAATAGTGCCCGTAAGCACGAATAACTTTGTGTATTAACAACACCAACCAAAAGGCTCTGATACCACTGTTAAGATGCTGGCATGCAAACCCGACAAGATAAAAGATAAGAGACAAGATAAAATGAGAAATGGAACACACAAGAATTTACGTGGTTCACCCAATTGGGCTACGTCCACAAACAAGTATAGAAGGATTTTACTAAGTAATATGAGAATTACAACCTCTCTCAAATAATAGGAGAACAACTAAGAATTTCTCTATTATTAGGAGAAAACACCTCACTTACTCTATCACAAATACCTCACAATTTTGTGGGATTACTCTCTCTTCACTCTCTTCTTCTTCTCTCTATTTTGGTGTGCATATAGGCTTGAATGCATTGTCTATTTATAGGCTAGAGAAAGGGGATAATGGTCATAAATTTAGGAGGAATATATGCCTAACAACTCATCCTCCACTCATACTCCACCAATTATAACTCATCTCCCACTCAAATCCCATCAATTATGCCACCTAATTAAATGGCTTTACAAATACCTGCCAAGATCAAAGTTGTTATTAATGCATGGGCAATTGGCAGAGATCTTGCTTAATGGAATGAACCAGAAAAAATTCCATCCAGAGATATTCCATGATAGTTTAATTGATTACAAGGGGACTAATTATGAGTACATCCCATTTGGTGCTGGAAGAAGAATGTGTCCCGGCATATCATTTGGTATAGCTAACGTGGAGAATCCACTTGCACATTTGCTTTATCATTTTAACTGGAAACTTCCCTATGGACTAAAACCAGAAAATCTAGACATGACTGAAGTCTCTGGCCTTGCAATGAGAAGATCTGCAATTGATTCCCATTTCGTATGATCCTCGGTCTATTCAATGTGATCAAGGAGAGAGAGTTTCCATGCGTGTTCAATGTATATTCCAGGTTGATGCCAATGTTTACTGTATAAATAAATGGAGAAGTCTCTGCACCATGTATTTAGGGAGTTCAGCCACTTCCATGAATGAATTTGTAGCTTTTTAGGCCTACGCTGGTTTTAACTTGGTAAATTGTCTGAAGAAGAAAAGGTTGATGGATAAAAGAGGAATTCTCGTGGAAAATGAATGTATAGGCTAGTCGCATGGTCCTTGTGTTCCAAGAACTCCAGCTAAAAACACGATGCACACCATCTTTATACTGCTCATATAAGGAATCGAGGGTAAAACTGGTTCCCCCAAGATTTTTTATTTTTTGAATATTTTCACAATATTGAGTTGAATGTTGACAACACATATATAATAAAATCTTGAATAGAAAAAATGCGCAAACATCATGGACGCGTTTTTTTTTTTTTTTTTACATCATGATATATTTTAATTGAAAATTAAATAGATGATGCTTGAATTTAATTAAATCAATTGAAAAATATATAAATTAATAAATCATAAAAAATAGTTGATAAATTTAATTGAAAACTAAGATGAGAAGCTGATATTACATGTAAAGATTAAATGATAGATGCACGTACATATACTCTATCTTATGTATTTAGTTGCTCTTCAATTTTTTATTTAATTATGTAGTGGTAAAAATAGATTTTCACATGAGAAGCAATAATTTATACCTCGTAGAAAAAAATAATTTTATTTTCTTGTTACTGTATTTTCTTAACAAAAAATGTCAATGTAATTTGTTGCATAAAAAGTGAAAATAATTAAATAAATATCTAAAATTTAAAAAAATTGAAATAAGGAGAAAATAAATGTATATCTTTGATCAAAGCCCCCTTCTTTTATTAATGCATTCCTTTTTCTTCTTTTTTTTGACAAGAACATATCTTTTTATCTGAAATATTATTTTATAAATAAAAACTTATCACAAGCTTAAAAGAAAGTTTTAATAAAAAATAAAAAATAATGAATTGATAATTTGGACATGAATATATTTAAAATTAATATAAGAATAATGAATTAAATAAATAATATATAAATAATTTTCAATAAAAAAAAACAGATAGTTATTTTATTCATAGGTAAAAAATTTAGAAAATTATGCATGTTAGGTTAACATATAATTATTTAAAAAATAATTATTAATATTATCATAAAAAAAACACTAATATTATTAGAAAACAATGACGTGTTGTATAATTATTATTCATAGAGAATGTTGTCGTAAAATGAAGAAGAGGAAAAACAAATAATGGAGGGCCCCTCCATAAAAAGGGTCAGGCGCTAGAGGATGACACATCGTTCACTCTGATTTAAAAAAATAAATAAATTGAATGCACGATGTGTCAGCCAACTAGGTGAATGATGCGTCATTCAACTACAACTTTTTTCAGTCATTGAAGGGGACTTTGGTGATATAAAAATAAAAAAGTGGGTCCGAGTTTTTGGGTTTCAAGAACCCAGTTTTCTACTCTCTTTTTTTCACCCAGTAACATAAAAAAAATAATCATGTGAACCTCTAAAATATCATATTCAATAACAAAACACTTTTTTTGTCGGTATAAAAACTCAAATAAAAAAAAATTGAACCCCAGGTCACCTTTTTTTCTTCTTTAAATGTGAAAATCATTTTCATTCAATCTTTCTCTTAAAAATAAAATTTATAAATATTAGAATTAAAATTATTGGTAAATAAAATTCAGCAATTTAAGAGTATTTTTTCACATCGGACTTGTAATATCATATATCAACGGATAAAATAATAGTAGTTTGTTTTATTAAAAATATTTATTATTAACTTATTATATGTATTTTGCAATATTAAGATCAGATATAAATTATATAACTAAAACTAAAATTATAAAAATAATAAAACTTAAAATAAATAATATATAGTAAGTTGGATTAGACTGTTGTGATTTGCTCTTTTACCTCTCAACTTTTAAGAATTATAACATAAAAAAAAAAAATTTACAATAAAAATATGATGTGGCTTTTACCTGCTTTTTGATGGACAGTTTTGTTTTTTCCTTTTATAAAAGTTCCGGTAAACCATCTATTAATTTATTTTTTAATAAAATTTTATAACCCTATTTTGTAAAAATAGACATTAATTTAACGTTGAAATATTTAACAAAGCATCAAGAAAGCTAAAACAAAGAACATACCAATACAAGTTTCAACGAGTAAAACCATGAATAATTTAAAAAGATTAAAAATAATAATAAAATTGAGTGATTAAATCGTAAACCATGCAAAACTACAACTAAAATATAAAAAAATTAAAAAATAAACATAATATTTTGTTAAGCTCTCACGTGATTCAATTTAAATTTCTAGTCCAATAAAGAGTCAAGTTGATTTTATAAGTTTAAATTGTTATGCTGAATTTGATAATATGTCCATGACTTTCTTGCCCTTTGTTTTTTTTTTTCAGTTTTGTTTTATCTTTATTTTTTTATTTCATTTTTTAATATTAAATTTTTAACTAATTTTATCATTTAATTCTAAATTATTTTTTATATTTTTAATTATATATTAAAAAAATTTAACCCAACAAAGTTAACAATCTTGGATTGCAAGTTTTGCATGTTGACAATGGGACATATGACATGTTTTTTTTTTTTGTTTTTTTTTTTGTATCTATATAATAAATAAGGTTGTGTCATGTAACCCATCAAGATTTGATTTAAAATTTAAATTAAATAATAAATCAAGTTCATATTTTTCAAGTTTAAATGGTTGTTGTGAGTTATATAATAATATTTAAAAGTATTTTATATTACTTTTTTACGTAAAAAAAAGTGGTTCAGTCCTTTTCCAAACAATGTTTTTTTATTTAATATAATGTTTTTATTACTTAACTAGATTCTTTTGTTTTTCAGTGCCTGACATGGAAGCGTATCTACTTGCCCTTTGATTCCATTTCTGCTACCTGCTACCCCTTTTCAGTTCTCTGAACTCGTGTCTGACGTGTTCTCTCTCTATTTAAATCTCTCTTTGCCTCTTATCTTATGTCTGTACTTAGAGTATATTCTTGAATACTGTTAGCAACGGTAAAAGGAGCCTCTGTTGCAATAGTTCTTGGTAACTACCTGTCATGTCTAGCAGTCGTCCCCGGTTCTGCCCTTCTTCTATGTCAGGTTCTCTCTCTTGAACTTTTATGGGGTTTTGGCTATCTGGACAGTGCAACTATGCATTCAAGTTTCCTTTTTGTTATTTTTGTTCATTTTGTTGCTGTGCTTCTTATGTTGTAGAATTTCGTTTCACTATGTCTTATTTGAAATCTTTATGATTTTATACATTGCACGCATGCTTACCGGGGCATGAAATAACTTCAGTCATCTCTGGTTATCGAGTTATTGTCGGTTAGAACTTGGAAGAAAGAAGTGGAAGTGCTATTACAGAGAGCATACTTTGTTTTATGTTCTTAATAATTGGTATTTGATTATTCTAACAGTTGATTGTTTGATTTTATTTCTCGACCATTCATTTGGCACTCGTGGTTTCTTTCCCCAGGATGCTTTTTCAAATCTGTAATTTATCTATAATTCATGATGAATAACCTGACTTGGCTTTCTTTCCCTCTGGCCAATGTTCCTTTTGCGAAGCAACCTTCACAGACCCTGCATCAAAATTAGTCACAGGAGAATTCAAGACAACCAGTCTGGTACCTGATACTGCAATTCATTTGAATTGTTCCATCTATTCTATGAGAAATTAAAGGATTGAACATTGTGCTCGTTGATTTTCCATTTTTAATCATGCAGAACTTTCATGGAGCCAAGGAAAGGATCAAGAAGATGTTTGATAAGATTGAATTGTCAGTGTCCTCATATGACACTGCTTGGGTGGCAATGGTCCCATCTCCATATTGTCCGGAAACTCCTCGTTTTCCAGAGTGCACAAAATGGATTTTGGATAATCAACTTGGTGATGGCTCCTGGAGTCTTCCTCATCGCCATCCATTGCTAGTTAAGGATGCTCTTTCATCTACATTAGCGTGCATCCTTGCATTGAAGCGATGGGGTATCGGTGAAGAACAGATAAATAAAGGTACTCTTTTAAGTTATATCAAGTGTTTACCAATTATTCTTAGGTGACCAAATTGCATGATTAAGCAACAGGATACTTGAGCTCGATAAATATTCTCTCCCTTGTTGCAGGCCTTCGATTTATTGAGTTGAATTCCGCTTCAGTTACGGATAACGAGCAACATAAACCAATTGGATTTGATATAATATTTCCTGGCATGATTGAATATGCCAAAGATTTGGATTTGAACCTCCCTTTTAAGCCGACAGATATAAATTTCATGCTCCACAGGAGGGCGTTGGAGCTTACAAGGTGAAATTCTATCTTACGCATTTGCCATTTTGGTCCGCGTCTATGTTCATAAAACATCTTTTCATAACAATGATACCAAACTTCAAAAATGAACAAATTGGCTTTGCCAAGTTGGGAAGGATCAGACTGTTCAAGCTCAGCCAACCCCTGCCTTGAAACTGGGATTAGTTGGCTCAGCTCTGCTTAATGGAGCTGTTTACTGCTCTCTAGGAGCAAGGTCTAGAACAAGGTTTCAGTTCTTCAAATTATACAAGTGCACTTTAAATATTTTTCAAAAAATGCGTGGAGCCCGTGGACTGATCCCCAATGTTAGAAATACGTTGTCATTTCTAAAGTGTAATACATCATATTGGAATGGCCTGGTTTTCATTTGGAGTCTGTATATGTAGTGGCGGTGGCAAGAACTTGGAGGGCAGAAGAGCGTACTTGGCATATGTTTCGGAAGGAATTGGAAAATTACAGGATTGGGAAATGGCCATGAAATATCAAAGAAAGAATGGATCACTGTTCAATTCACCATCCACAACAGCAGCTGCTTTTATTCATATTCAAGATGCTGAGTGTCTCCGTTATATTCGTTCACTCTTACAGAAGTTTGGGAATGCAGGTCCAGCCTCGTAACTCTAAATGTGCTATCTATAGCGTTACATCTCTCTGGTATCTAGTTATTGACTTTCTATTGATTTCTTCAGTTCCAACCATTTATCCATTGGATATATATGCTCGTCTTTCTATGGTTGATGCTCTTGAAAGGTTGGGAATCGATCGGCATTTTATGAAGGAAATAAAAATTGTATTGGACGAAACATACCGGTAATGTACCATTTTCAGTTTGCAAATGCAATACCACTGTGTTGTTGATGCAAGCAAATTTCTAGATAACTGAATTCATCTTTATGTTTTAACAAAAAATTTCACTGAAGTTCTGGTTAACTTGTTAGACCATGATCAGATTCTATTGTTGTAACTTTTAACCTTGACATTAGCAAACAAACAGATTTTGGTTGCGGGGGGAGGAAGAGATATTTTTTGATAATGCCACTTGTGCTTTGGCATTTAGGATATTACGTGTGAACGGATATGATGTCTCCCTAGGTATGTTCTTTAGATAGGAGATTTCATGCTTGGATCTTTTGAGGATGTTTTAATCAGTATATCTTTAAAAGGGTTAACATTTGGTGTAGATACATTAAACCAATTTTCAGAAGATCATTTCTCTAATTCACTGGGAGGATATTTGAAGGATTCGGGAGCTGCCTTAGAGTTGTACAGAGCTCTGCAGCTAAGTTATCCAGATGAATCACTTCTGGAAAATCAAAATTCTTGGACAAGCGATTTCCTGAAACAGGGATTATCCAACCCTTCACTTTGTGGAGATCGGCTTCGTAAAAAATATTAACGGAGAGGTAGTTTTGTTTTTCCCCTTATTGTCAAATCCCTGAGAACAGCCTTTTTCAGTTCCATTGAAACTCCTAACTTCCTATATTTTCCTCCACTTCAGGTGCATGATGCTCTCAATTTTCCTGACCATGCAGATTTGCAACGCATAGCTATCAGAAGAAGAATTAAACATTACGCTACAGATGATACGAGGATTTTGAAAACTTCGTATCGGTACATCTTGATTGGTTGAAGAAATTTTTTAATTTGACCGGTCAAATATGGTGTTCTTACTTGTACTTTTACTCTTCATGTCATAGTTGTTCGACTATTGGTAACCAGGATTTTCTCAAATTGGCTGTAGAAGACTTCAATATCTGCCAATCAATACAGCGTGAAGAACTCAAACATATCGGGAGGTGCGTTTTCTACACAAGCTTTGAACCATGACTTGGTGGCCTTCATTGAATATACATCGAGAGCAGGATATATTGAGCGCAAAGCTAGCTTTGCTGCATTCACCCCCTTTTGTCTCTTTTACTTTTCAAGATGGAATCGCAGCTTTTGCTGGAGCTACTCACCACTGATGTCGCGACTTTACCCTGATCTCAATCTCATTGGAGTTCTTAAATTTTTCAATCAAAGATCCAAATGTCCTTGACACGGACTAAATTATTAGCTATCTCAGTGCATTTAGTTAATTGTTTGGCACTTCAAATATTACTTGTTTATAGCAAGATACCTGTCATGTAAACAGGTGGGTTGTAGAGAGGAGACTGGACAAGCTAAAGTTTGCTAGGCAGAAGGAGGCCTACTGTTACTTCTCTGCTGCAGCAACTCTCTTCGCTCCAGAACTATCTGATGCACGCATGTCATGGGCAAAAAATAGTGTGCTTTCTACTGTTGTTGATGACTTCTTTGATGTTGGTGGTTCTGAGGAAGAACTAGTAAACCTTATTCAATTGATTGAGAGGCATGTTTCGTTTCCCCTTTCAATTTCTTCACTTTCTAGATGATTCTCCTGTGTTCAAGTCATGATTTATTTCTAATGGAATGCAGATGGGATGTCAATGGCAGTGCTGATTTTTGTTCTGAGGAAGTTGAGATCATATATTCGGCAATTCACAGCACTATAAGTGAGACAGGAGACAAATCTTTCGGATGGCAAGGACGCGATGTGAAAAGCCATGTTATCAAGATTGTAAGACGAATTCCAACTTAATTATATAATATTGTTACCACCATATTAGCATAATTGGAAAGAGAATTTTTGACGGTTCAGTTTTGCATATGTTATCAAGATTGTAAGACGAATTCCTACTTAATTATTATAATATTGTTACCACCATATTAGCAAAATTGGAAAGAGACAATTTTTGACGCTTCAGTTTTGCTTTACAGTGGTTGGATTTGCTCAAATCCATGTTGACAGAAGCACAATGGTCAAGTAACAAATCAGTGCCAACCCTTGATGAATACATGACAACTGCATATGTATCGTTTGCTTTAGGGCCTATTGTCCTTCCAGCTCTGTATTTTGTGTGGCCTAAGCTTTCAGATGAGGTTGCTGGACATCCTGAATTGCTTAATCTATTTAAGGTTATGAGCACTTGCGGGCGTCTGCTCAATGACTGGAGAAGCTTTAAGGTGGACGATTCTTTTCAAGGGATATAAAATGAGATGTTATCGGCCTCATGTCTGATATTACTTGTTTGGTTGTTAACCATGTTTTGCTTTTTGCAGAGAGAAACTGAAGAAGGGAAATTGAATGCTGTCTCATTGTACATGATTCACAGCGGTGGCGCTTTAACTGAAGAAGAGGCCATTGAACATTTTAAAGGATTGATCGACAGCCAGAGAAGACACTTGCTTCAATTAGTTTTGCAGGAAAAGGATAGTATAATTCCTCGACCCTGCAAGGATTTGTTTTGGAACTTGATAAAGATATTGCACACGTTCTACATGAAGGATGATGGATTCACTTCAAACGAGATGATAAGTGTTGCCAAGGCAATACTAAATGAACCCATCTCTCTAGATGAATTATAAGCAAATGCTATGAAACATGTGAATCCTGCCTACTTTTCTGAATTTCTCAAACCAGCAGCGAGGTATCTGTCATTGTTGTTTATGAATGCTCATGTTTTTCTCTGGCACTGCTTGTCATTGTGGCCAGGCTTCCTTGATATCACTCCGTGGCATGTATCTGGGAACCATGATGGGAGACAACAAAGAGCTGCTGCCGCTAGAATCTAGCTAAACATGCAAGAACGCACCATCAGGGGCTGAACCAAGCTCTTCTTGCTAGAGAAAAAAAAGATGCGGAGCCTCCAGACTTTAGAAAACACCTAGTTGATTTAAAGCACGCCTTTCAATTTTTCCTTGATCATTCAACTATCAGCCTACCATGCCACGTGGATTGCTAAATCAGAAGTATACAAACAATTCTTGTCCACTCACCATACATTAAAAAAAAAAACAAAGAATTGTTTGTTTGAGGAGCAGAGTGCAAAATTGGTTAATTAATTCATCAAATTCTCTTACACTTAAATAGGACAACCGATAAAATACACGCAGGTGATTGCTCTCATGCCTGGCAACAAGGGGCAAAGATCATCAAGGCACTTCTGGTATTCCCAGCAGAAACCGCTCATGACTTTCACAAAGGAGCCCATGTCAAATTGGCACAGCTCCTTCAAGATTCGTGCGGCGTGCGGTTCAATTAAACGCTACTCACACTCAAATATCACTTCGGAATTTAGAACTGGTCGTTATCAGTAGCAATAAATGCCGGACAGGTTACATTCAAAAGGCTTTCTTCTCATGTGAAGTCAGTCCATGAACTCCACCTTCAACTTGGGCTGCTGCTGTCCGTACCTATAGCAAGCCAGAGGAATAAGGGTCAAACACCGTGTGGACGAAAAATAAAAGAGCAAAGTTCACACATGACTTCAGCAAGCATGAGTAATAAGCGGGCAACCAAGGGCATGATGAACAACTTCTAGTATTTGAGAATTGGGGATGCAAGTATGATACATGACCTATCGCCAATGAATCAAAACATTTACCCCTAATCTCTTCAAACACACCCTCCCGGCCCTCCTGACAATTCAGAATATGTTATTGATGCGTTGCCCTGTACTTGAGCTGTTTTGGTTGATTTGCAAAGGTAGTAACTATTTTAATCATTTAAGATGGTTTATGCCTCCACAAGGAGGCTAACTTCAAATGCTCAACCAGAAAGCTATAAAAAACGTATATTTACACATATTCTGATGGATAAAGACTTTAGCTTCACGCAGTCACGGATTATTTCCACGCATCAAAAACGACCAAATTATCTCAATACCAGAAGTATGAGAAAGCCATCCGTACCTCAAGCCTAAGTGTCTTCGACCTTAACAAATCATGAGCAGACTGCAACGAGGAAGCACCAAGATCCTGGAACCCTTGCTTTACTGCTTGCATAGTGTAAGGTACTAACTTCAAAACAGAACCTTTATCAGCAACTGCTCCTACAACTCCCTGAGCAATCTTTAGCTTAGCAGTATCACCCAGGTATCTTTGATCACTTCCTTTAGTCATTGCTTCAAGGGAGCCCATGCCACGATATTTTTTAACCCGGCATTTTTTCTGGTATGGAAAATTGTTAGAATTCACAGAATTGAAACTGCATCTAGAGCCAATGAATGTATCCAGTCATATTTTGTCATGAAGCAAGAATAAAAATGATCACAAAATAATGTGGCATGTTACTGATATAAAACCGTAAATCACAAGCATGCTGCATTAGTGTCTGAATATTCATATATTATTAAGTACACACATCAGCTGACATGTTCATGAGACTGCCTTACTAACTTAACAAGTGTCCATTATGATTCATAATTCATAAGTGCATTCCCAAATAATCCAATGCTAACCAATGTTAACAAATGCACACAAACAACAATTTTTCATTTTATAGTAATGTTCAGGTTCACTTAGCTATCTATTCTCAACACCAACCTTACCTTTAAAAGACAGGTTAAAAGATGAGGATTACCTCAGCTACAGAAGATTATCTCGACAAGATAGTCTCCTAATAAGATTTCTTAACAATTAGAAAAACCTTTATTTATGAAGTTTCAAACTTCAAGGTTACTTTTGAGTTCCCTGTCCAAAAGCTTGCACAGCTTTATTGCCTCCGCCAATGAAAAAACATCGATAACGACAAATCGGAGAGGAAATACTGGATGGGCCACAGGGATAATTGTGGTTTCTTTTACTTTTTTGTTAATACGTAATCATCTTAATTCAAGGAAATAATTCCAAAAGAACAAAAGTGTGAAAAGGAAGTTTGTAAAAAACCCACTTTCAAGAAAGATGCTAGAAGAAACCAGCTAAAAGACTAGTTTTCATTGCCATTTAGCCATGGCGTACCTTCTCATCGTACTCATAAGCCCCAGGAGCTTCAGTACTTCCAGCTAAAAAGCTTCCCATCATTACAGTAGATGCCCCAAGCACCAGGGCTTTGACAATATGCCCTGAGAATGAAATGCCACCATCTGCAATGACAGGAATGCCACTTTGTGAGGCAATGGATGAAACCTTGTAAACAGCAGTTGCCTGGGAAGTTGCAATGCAAGAAAAACAACTTTCAGTGTGGAGAAAAGGATGGATGTGCGAATTATCTTAACTATTCACACGAAATCATTCACTTTGGAATTCAGTGCTCTGTTACAGAAATCCGTATGCATGGTTGTGCTGGAACTCCTTTTCTCTTGGCATTTTTAGATCCTTGCATACTAAAAACAACAAAGATAATGTCTTCAAGTAAAATGGTTGGTGCTGTGCCACTAGCCATTATCCAAACTAAGTAAAAACATGATACCATTAACAGATAGAGTCCTTTACCTGTCCTCGCCCAACTGCACAAACCTCTTGTGTGGTGCATATGGACCCAGACCCCATACCAACTCTCAACCCATCTACACCTGCCTTGATCAAATTCTGTGCTTGACTCATCGTCACCACATTCCCACCAACCACATCCAGCTCCGGATAGGCCTGTTTCACATACTTAATCATCTCAACCTGATAAACAGAATTCCCTTGTGAACTATCCAGCACAATAACATCAACCCCTGCTTTAACCAACTGCTCCAACCTCTCCTTGTCCGACTCCCTTGTCCCAATCGCCGCCCCAACCATCCACCTCCCATCAGACCCCACCGTTCCCTTCCCTAGCTTAGGATATCCCTTCAACCTTTCAACCTCCTCCTTCGTCACCGCATCCACCACTTCTCCTCCCTCCTTCTCCACCACCACAAAACCACGCCCTTCCTCTTTTAACTTCTCATCAATCTGCGTCAAATCATAATCCCACGGCACGCACACGTTCGCATCCGTGTGCATGACCTCCCCCAATTTAATTTCTTTATCTTTCAACCCCAGCCAATCAGACTTCGCAACATATCCCAGCAACTTCGTCTTCTGAGTCCCTAAGCAATATGAAACAGAAATCCTAAGCACTTCCTTTTCTTTTAAGAAGAAAAATAATCGAAAAAGAAGTGATTTATTTTTTTATATTCCTTTTATTTTATTACCTGATTGAGTGACAAGAACAAAAGGAACATCATGGCTGTCAAACTCGTCAGCAATCCGTGAATCAGGCGCCTTAAAAACTGGACTCGACAATATAGGCACGCGGCGTGACTTAACGGATCTGATCATATCAGCTTGCTCAGACGGCGTTACATTAGAGTGAATAATCCCAATTCCACCTAGCGCCGCCATCGCTGAAGCCATGTAGGACTCAGTGACGGTATCCATGGGAGAGGAAACCCATGGGATAGAGAGGGGGACATTGCGGGAGAGTTTAGTTGAGAGGTTAACGGCGTCGGTTGGGAAGTCGATGTAATGAGGGAGGAAAATGACATCATCGTATGTGTAGGAGTAGCCTTGGTTGAAGAGTTTTTCGGCGGGGAAACCGTCTTCGAATTCTGTCGCCATTTACTGGTAGTGGTGACGGCGACGGTGGTTGTTGCGGGGAGGGGAAATACTTACTGGAGGTTGGGGGCGTGGGATGAGATTGGTTTTGTTAGGTTTGGTAGATATTAGATAGATAATGATGAATTGAAATATGGAGGGAAGGGAAATGGACAGAAGGAGAGTGATTGGGTGTCCTACGGTATATGGTAATTTGGGTGGTCCATTCATCATTACTGTCCATTATGAATTTGTCCATCTAGCTTTTACGTGAAAAACTTTTGTGCACTTATGATTATCTAAGTTTTGATTTTGTTTTGTTCTATAAAAAACTTTTACGGTATATAAAACTTTTGTTCTGTAAAATAAATCAAAAACCGAGAATTTTTTATTTTTGTCATTGTTCACTGTAAGTCAAGGCCCTTGGTTCCCTTGATGTTTTTGTAGTTATTTCTTTTATTGTTTTGAATTTTGAGTCAGGCTTTTCTATAATTAACTCGCATATGGACGACACCTGCTCCCTTAAGGCAGGCCATGCATCGTTCTTTATATTTTTTTAATTTTATTTTCTAATATTTTATTGATTTATAGCTTTGCTTTGTTGTTTTAAATGTTTGTTTTTTATGGTGCTGCTTCTGAACTTATAATTCGATTATGGGTTTTAAACTCTAGCATAAGTTGGTTTTGATATTTTTTTAAGGTTTTATTTTTTCTTTACTTTATTGATAAGATAACATAAGCGGGCATGAATTTATTTTTTCATGGATTTATTTTATTTTATTCTTAATTTCACCATTACATGTTATATTTTTTATAATTAAATTTAATAATTTTATTTAATTTATTTTTGATAATACCATCTCAATATCACAACCAACTTGTGGATTTTACATGCTAAATTAAGTGGATTTTTTTAAAATATTTTTTATGTTATTGATCTTTTTACCACTTCATCTACCATCTACCATTGTTGCGTCTTTTTATTTGTATTAGATGAGATAAGCTTACTAGACTCAATTTAGTTAATAATTAAAGTTTCAAATCTTTTTAGTATTTTTTCAAATGCTTTTATGACTGATTTTTTTTATATGTTTAAAAAAAGTTTTAATTGGCCTTTAATATAGCATGAGTTTTTCTGTCTCTTTAGAGTTTGTTTTGTATTATAATAATAACTAATTTTTAAAATATTTTTTATTTAAAAATATAATTAAATTATATTTTTATTTTATTTTTTAAAAATTATTTTTAATAATAAAATATAAATTCATTTTAAAAACATCAAAACACATGATTCTGATGTGATATAAAATATTAGTATAAACTATTAAAAGCATGTTGGAGAGTGTAATTATAGTTATGGTAATTTTTTAAAGTAATTTTATTTAAAAAATATATTAATAATATTTTTTAATTTTTAATTTTTTTTCCTAATTAGCATATGAAAATGATTAAAAAAATATTAATTTACAATAAAAAATTAATTTTTTTAAAAGCGTTTATAAAATACAGCACGCCTAGCTGGTCTCGTAAAGCGGGACAGTCAGCAACCGACACAATACGGCAATAGTGCGTTCTGACCAGGAGCACTCTCCAATGTCGTTTTCATTCTGTTCTTGTCCAAAGGGTAATTGTTAATTAATGGGTGTCCACGCAGTTTAATTAATCCGGAAACTAATTTTGACAAGTCTTTAATCATTAATTTCAAAACAGGGATTCTATTTTTTTAAAAAAAAAACCATAGCCAGGAGAAAAAACTGAAACTTCATTAACACTTCTCCGCTGAAAAAACTAAAAAAATTATTTTTTCAGCTTTTCAATTTTTATAATGAATTTGAAGAACACACCTTAGATATTCTTTACCTTTATATACAAGTGTCCACTTCCTTTTCAAACAAAAAAGTATAAATAATACATTTAAATGTATAAATGTTCCGTAACAATGTAAAACATTAAACCATTTTTTTCATTTTCATATTCAACTAGCAGCATAAAATTATTTTCTTGTAGGAAATTTAATACAAATATTTATTTTTTCAAGCTGAAAAGTATAATTTTGTATGGTGTTTTAAAAAAATAAATTAATATTTTATAAAAAATCACTGTTATAAAATAGTGATTTTGATTTTTATATTGAAAATAGTTACAATACTAGCACAATTTTTATTTTCTTTTAATTAAAAACTTTATCTCAGTTCTTAATAAAAGAATATGTATTTTTCTATCTTTTTTTTTTTAAAGGTTGGAAAGGAAAAACATTGAATAGGAGACATTTCTTTATTGGTTAACAGACCAAGGTCATCCAATTGTTAACCCTTGCAAAACAAGAGGTAACAAACTTTATTTTCCGGGTAGATTATGAATTTGCTTGGTTAATTTTAATATTTTAAATAAAAAATAAAAATTAATTTCATCAATTTTTATATAAATTCAACTAAATTAATTAAGTTTATCTCAATGAATTTTTAAACGGGCACAAAATAAAACTTGGCTAAGTTTAAGTGCTTGTTATTTCAACCACAATTAAAAATAATTATTAAGAGGACATTTAAGAATATGATAATAATTGTTTTTAAAGTATTTTTTATTTTAAAATATAGTAAAATATTTTTTTATTTTTTAAAATTTTTTTTTGTTATCAACACATTAAAATAATATTAAAATATAAAAAAATTAATTTAAAATATCAATAAAAATAAGATAAAATTTTAATTTTTTTAAAAATACTTTTTAACACCAGTGACAAACTTATCCATCCGTGGGTTATGAATAGAGGCAACGGGATTGTTCCGGTTTAATAATCATAGTCAATCATCAAGGAAGGAATTCCGAACATTTTTTCTATACATTAATTTTTTGAACTTAAATATGGCTCTACAAATATTGCATACATGTGCGATCACAGGAATAAAACATGCAATTGGAATTACTGCACGTCCTGTTTATATGTTTATTCGAGTTAATACAACTCACACGGGAGGAATACAGGGAGGTCCCTTGTACAAAAAGAAGAATTTCATGACGAGGATGATAACCTAAAAAGAAATAGAAATAGAAATCCAAGCCTAATCTACCTGGGGACCCACCTAAGGAGCACTACTTACAAAATTCGTGCCTTGACAGATCGTAAAATGACCCTACAAATTTATTTAGAAATGAACCATCAGAGAGAGAGATTGGCCTCTGCTGTCTCGGAGACTGGTTTGCTATCTATTCACTGTTGTCCCAGGAAGATCGAAGAGCCTTCATCTCCTCACGTGTACATAAATCTACAGCCATCATAGCCTGCGAATGATATAAAAAAGAAGACTAATTACAATGAAAAGACAAATAATAATAATAATGCAAGGTCCGATGTCGTGATAAGCAGCACAAATAAGAAGTATATTGATGTGTGATTTAAGGGAATTACTAGGATCAACGGTGACTAGCATGGCAGTGCCTCCAAAGGAACAAGTGCCACCAGCAACTTTGGTCCTCTGCCAGTAACTATTGAAGGCATAGGAAGCATGTGCAAACAATGTGTTGGGCTCAAAGCATGACCCACTCGGTTGAATCGAGTCACAATCTGCCCCAGACCCACAAGCGTAGTTCATTGCTTCTTGAATGATTGGATCGGGCACCGAAGGCTTGGCAACACACCATAAGGCTGTGTACGGGCTTGTTCTTGGAGATGGTGGCCCTGTAGGAGGTGGATACACAACAGGTGGTTGAAAAACCCGCGGGCTTGGAACAAATCCAGTTGGAGATGGAACAAAAATGGGCGGGCTAGGGATGTAGCTTGGTGGACTAGGCTCGTAATAAGGGGGACCAGGTTCAGCTTCTGGTGGGCTTGGAACGTAGATGGTCGGGCTAGGCACTGATTCCGGCGTGCCTGGGATGGTACCCGGCGGACTCGGGACGGCAACTTCTGGTGTTCCGGGAATGTTGACGGGTGGGCCTGGCACAACTTCTGGCGGGCTTGGAGTGACACCAGGTGGACTAGGTACTATTTCGGGTGGATTGGGAATCGGGGTGAATTCGGGCGGGCTTGGTACCCCACCAGTTGGGCTTGGAGGTGGGTTTAGGATGGGAAGAACCGGTGGTGGATAAGAGAAGGGTGGTGGAGATGCAGAGGGCACGTATCCTGCTGGAGTTGGAATTGTGGATGGGGGTTGTGGGGTGTTTGGAGGATAAATGCAGTATGGAGGGGCATTATCAGGCAATGAAATTGGTCCTAATGAATCATAAGGTGGCAAGGAAAATGGTGAGCTCACATAGGGACCAGCATTCGATGAATCCATCGTTTCCTGTTGCAGTAGTAATGAAGCCAAGTCAAAGTGATCTGTCACTTTTAATTTCTTTGCATGTCTGTTTACTGAGCTTCTTGTATGCACTGGACCTTTAAATAAGCGCACTGATCTTCTTGCATCTGCTCAAAGGTTATAAAAATAGAGCTATCACCTATCAGTATCCATATCCAATTGCATGCTTCTCATATGCATTGAGATGGTGACTACTGAATCTCGGCTATGCAATGGACCCTATGCGATCTATTCACCGTATGAAATGGTAAGTGACTTGGGATATTCAGCAGAAAAAGATAGAAATAAATGCCAGCACTCTTAATGCTATATAGTTCTATTCTTTCCATCCTTCTTGATCATGGATATGTATTATATATTAGGTAGTTATCAAAACTTGATAGCATGCAGAGCCCACAGCAGTAGCAATTCCATTTTCACAATCTACATGATATATAAGATGGTAAATTAGCTATTAACTTGAAACAAAACGGAGTACTAATCTGTAACTCGAAACAAATTAATGCAGGCCAGAGTGATGTAACTAATTATGGGTGCAAGGGCTTGAGTGAGGGAGCGAGCTTACTGCAAAGAGTGAATGAGGTAGCTGCAATCGTCAAATAGAGTAGTAGAATGCAAACTCTCCTGCAACCTTTGCTTATTTCCATTCCTTTCGAGCCAACCAAAGCTTCCAAGATGAAAGCTCTTAATTATGCTCAGACTCCACGCCCTTCGAAGAATACGAGATAACACCAGCCATTTGCTTATATATACAGAGGAGTGTCACGGCACCCTTGGACGGTCCTAGAATGGCTCAAAGTAAAGTAATTTAAGGCCGTGAGGGACAGGTGGCAGCGTTGGCCATAAAGATTGATTCTTTAGCAGCTTCACTTTGCTATACAGCCCGCTTTGCTTAGAGTGGTGTATGTGAAGAAATGCTAAAGAAGTTTAAAAGGTGTGATAGAAGGCATATTTTATAGGAAGTTGTTCCCTGATGTGCACAATGATAATCTATCTCTTCATTTTTTTTTGGGGTGCCCATGTATCATGGCATATATGCTTGCTTGACATTGAAAAAAAATGAAAGTGTTGATTTTTGCCTGCCCTTTTTTCTTGCTTGCTTTCTACTCAAAGCTCTCTCATGTTGGAGGCAGAGGCACCCTTTTGTCCCTTGAACGATTTCGAATCATTCGTGGCCTCATTGGGCTCTAGGATTGATAAAACAGTACCTCCAATTCCATGCAAATTTATTGCTGATGGTGGTTTTTTCATCATGAAAAAAAAAAAAAAAACAGTGCATCTCCGACAATTGCGTGCATGGCTTGTGTTTGTGTTGTTTTCTTAATTTCCACTAAACATGTCAAAAGTATGTCATATTCGAATTATATATGTCAATTCAAATCACACTATATCGTAATATTTTTAATATTAAAACCTAAATTTTAATATTTTTAACCTTAAAAAAGAAAAACATTACACAATAAACCTTCAAAACCTCGTTCTCAATCATAAAATATATTTTAATTGATCTAAAAACTTGAAATTAAAATGAAATTTTCAAACTCAGTTTACCTTTTTGTCACGTCATGAAATGACAACCATATAGCGTGCTCCTCTCTTAAAAATAAACTCCATGACGGAGAGTAATTGATTGCTAAGATGTTGTAATTCAAGATTTTTGTAATTATATGTTTTAGTTGCATTTTTTAAAAAGATAAGTTTTTATTTCAATGTTGCATTTATTCATCTTCCCAAAAAGAATTTTAAGTTTTATAAGTAAATTACTAAATCATTTATTACTGGTCATGTTAAAGACTGTAGCTCTGTGAGAAATTACCGCACCGGATAGAACAGTGAAGTTAGGGCCTGGGAAATGTACCGAGGATATTGAAGATAAATAAGCTGTTTGGAAGTACGATGGGAATTGTATTTTAAAAAAAATTAATTTTTTTATATATTTTAAATATTTTTAATACATTAATTTTAAAAATAATTTTTTAAAAATATTTACAATATTATTTTAATATATTTTAATATAACAAATACTTTAAAAAATAACTCCCTTACATTTTCAAAGTGCTAAGATCACTGACTGTGTCCGTGAAATAGCTAGCAGGAGTGTTACACGTGGCTGTAATCAGCAGTTTAAGCTTGGCAGTGGAAAAGGTGGGAATCCGGTTCTCGTAGAGTTTGTTGATTCGTTGGCAGTTAAGTAGGCAGCAGTTATTACTTATTAGGCCGTTAAGTAGGAGGTTGTTATGATCATTTTTGTGTTTTTTTGAGTCATTTAATGTTACGATCATGTTTTTTTTTATCACACCAATATCATGGTAATTTTTAAAAAATTAATTTATATAAAAAAATATTTTTAATATTTTATTCTAAAATAAAAAAATTTTATTTAAAAAGTTATCACCTAATATTATAGTCATTAAAAATTTTAATTAATTAATATAAATTTTATGATACGGGATTAGTTATATAAAAATAATAATATTATTAAATCTTAAATATCGTATATGAATTAAGCTGCATCACTAATTTTGTTTTTAATTACTAAGAGTTTGTTGGATTATACTACTGATAGTTTACTTGTAATATTTCTGACTCTGATATCATTAAATATTCGAATATAAATACTTCCTACTCTAGTATTGGTAAAGATTAAGTAATATAAAAAAATAGTAATCTTAACTTTAACGTCAATGAATAAGCTTAAATTTAAAATAAAAAATATATATTTATATATTTTTTTGTTGTTTTTTATATAAAAAAATTTACATTTCACAGTAAAAATCTATAAATCAATTATATAGTTAAATCATAAAAAAGACCATAAATAAATTCAGAAAGATCTATGAATTTTTATGATATAAAAAAAGAAAGATTGTTTGGCGATATACAAAAACAAAAGACAATAAAATAAAGAGGATTGGAGTAATGATATGTTTTACTAAATATACCCTTGGTTCAAAATAAATTGGGCAGGCTGAGTCCGAGGCTCAGGCCCAGCCCGGCCTCAACTTCTTTGTTTTTTTGGTTTTTGATGGGATCCAGTCTATGAGATGGTTGGTGATTCAAGTAAGATTGCAACTTCATTCAGTGCATCTAACAGGGTGCTTATGTATTTAGCTAAAGCAGAAAGGTTGGACGTGTCATTTTGGTGTTTCAAGAAGGCTCAGGATTCCGGCAATAAAATTGATACAGAGACATATAATATACAAGGCATCTGAGATATATGAGAGCATGGAAGCAGCAAAGTAATCATTGGATGGCTCAACTTATGAGCTGATGATACCAAGCTTGGAAAAATCAGGTCACCTGGATGCTGCTTTTAAGCTTTTCTTAGAGATGAAAGAAATGAACTTTTGTCCAAGCCCTAGCGTTTTTAACTGCTCGTTCATTCAATGGGGAAAGCAAGGAGGTTGGAGACATCGATGAAGGTTTGCATGGAAATGCAAGGCTTAGGGCTCAAACCATTTGTTATCATGCGTGTTTCCTTGATTGAGTCCTACACCAAGGCTGGGAAATTAGATACTGCTCGCAGACTTTGGGATGAGATGAAGATAGCTGACTTTAAGCCTAACTTTGGGTTGTGTACATTAATAATTGCATCCCGTGCTAACTCAGGGAAGCTTGATATTGCAATGTTCATTTTTCCAGACATGGAAAAGGCTGGTTCATCTCTTCTTGAAATGCATTCTGCCGCTGGACAATTGATGCTGCTATGAAGCTGTACAACTCGATGACCAATGCATGTTTGAGTACATATACTGCCCTTTTGACTCTCTTGGCTCATAAGAAGCTTGTGGATGTGGCTGCCTAAATTTCACTTGAGATGAAGGCTATGGGATAATCTGTTGATGTGAGTGCCAGTGATGTTTTTATTTTTTCACATTAAGGAGGTTCTGTTGATCTTGCTTTGAGGTGGCTGCGCTTCACGAGTTCATCAGGGATAAGGACGAATAATTTTATAATCGGGCAGTTATTTGAGTCTTGCATCAAGAATGGTTTATATTAATCAAGCAAGCCTCTCCTAGAGACTTGTGTGAACCCTGCCGCAAAAGTTACACATCAATTCTTGCCTATCTTGTCCAATGCCAAGAAGAGCAGAATGAGATGCATTCGATGGCAATCCTTAGTGCTACTAGACACAAGTCACATGCTTTTATGTGTGGGCTCTTCACTGGCCCATAAAAGAGGAAACAACCAGTTTTACCTTTGTGGGGGAGCTTTTTCAGTTCAGGGATTATGAGTTGGAGAAGGGTGATGCGAAGTATTCTGTGAATGTTCTGCTCAATTACCTTTTTTTCTCATGGAGCAGATCAATCGAGCCCGATGTTTTGGAAGGTTTCGAATGAGAATAAGCTTTTTCCAAAGGCTGTTATTTTTTATCAGCATATTGCCTGGTCCCTTGATGCTAGGAACCTGTCCATAGGAGCTGCTCTTATAGCAGTTGTGCAAACTCTCCATAGGCTCAGAAAGCGCATGCTGTCCTATGGCGTCATACCAAGACAGGTCAAATTGGTTACAGGACCAACTCTTAAGGATTTTGGTTGAACAGATGTTGAGCTCCGTAGAATCCCTATTTGAAGTTAGCAAGGTGGTTCAAAGTTCTAAGGGCCCCTGGGGACTTTGTTATGGTGTGGTTTAAGAAACCAATTGTTCAGCAATTTCTTTTGAACGAGATTCCCTCAAGGGCAGACATACTCATGCACAGGCTAAACATACTTTTTCCTACTTCTGCACCTGAAATTAGATCATCGACCCCTCCCAAATCACTCATTTCAGAAAATGCTGTGTCATTATCTATGACACTGGGGATCCTTTCCAGCTGATGTGCTTGCATATATGAAACGAATTGCAAGTGACTATGAACTGAGATATGGCCTTAGATCCTCGGTTTTGCTATCAAGGTCTGTCAAGTTACTTCGCAACTGATAGCTTGGAATATTATCCTAAGCCAAAAAATTAATTGAGAATTAGCAAATTCTAGTTCTCCTTCTTGTTGTGGCCATTTGATTATTGGATATCTTTAGCACTTTATTTATGAAATAAAGACACGGAGTTTTGTTGTACAGTTTTTGTATTGCGTATAATGAAGCTTCATGTACTTGTCAGTTACTATTGGAGCAATGCTTTCCATCCCTTTCCACTAACAGATGATCAGACGAGCAGGGCACTCCTTCTAAGGTTCTAACATTACGAATAACTATTCTTTTGGGGCCAATATATGGTATTTGCATATTTTACAACAAAATAAGTATACAATGCTGACGTTAAAAGCCATCGAGGTCAACGAGATTCCCACTTAGTTAGACAGCAAGAACTGCATTTGTTCTCGATATCAAGTGACTAGAACTTGTATGGTGACAGAATCTATGCGGGTGTCGGTTATATAATCATATCACAATTGCGACAGTGACGAAGTTGTGGTTATGTTTTTTTAAAGTTGGTTGTAATGGATTGAGACATTGAAGATGGACAGTTGTACTGGATTAGTGCAGAGATATTATGATAACCTGCAAAACAAGTTTCAGCTGTAGGAGTAATGGAGCCCAAGAGTGGGTGGAGTGATTTGAGGCCAGCCATCCCCTTTCCATCCTTCTGGTATCTTCAGGTCTTGTTTTCATCTAAGACGGGTCGTTTTTCGAATGTGTTGACTTATTAGGCTTAATGGAGATCTCGTATTTATTTTGAAGACCAATTGATTGTGGGTTATGTGGGTTTTTTAGACATCATTGCATCCCGCTCGAGTCCTCTACCGAGTCAT